ACCCATGACCATTCCAATAAAGCTGCATCTAGTAGATATCATTGGTAAAACCTGACTTCCTGGAGGACATTCATAAAACAACATTCACAGTGAGAGAAAAATGCAATGTATGATATGCCACTGACCCACAACATCATATTTTTACATTCGCTGTCAATGTTTATGCACAACACACTTTTTCAGTAGTGTAAAGACAAGCGGCTGTGACTTGTTGCACATACAACTGAAGAGCTACTGTAGCTTACATGACGTTCTTGTGCCTGCTAAAACTTCATATTCATACATGGGGAATACAGCTGTTTAATGTGGTTATGGTAAAATAAGAAAATAGCCACATATAATTACACTAGTAATGGTATCATACAGTAGTTCTTGAGAGAGCTTAGAAAGAAAGAGGTTGGCAAAGTCCACACATTAGGTAGGGTTTTACACAAGCTGTGAGATACTCTGGCCTGATTTTATCCTGGCATGGTGGTCATCATTTGTGAATCAACTTTTAATTTAGTTGAAAACCTGAGGCTGCACACAAAAGCACTGAAATCAGATTTAGCCATTGTTTGTATAGGCAGCACAGACGTTTGCCATCTTTTCAATATTGATACATTTTTATCTCCATTACAACATTAATGCCAGGGGGAAATTTAGAGTTAAATGACTATAGAACAAATGTGCTTTTGAGAGATGAGTTCTTGGACAACGTCAGACTCATGACAAACAAACAACAGTACACTAAATAGTATGACAGTTGCTTATATGAAGGTATCTAACAGCAATCAGACCATGCTAAATCTTTCTCAGTCTTCCCACACTGTGGCCTCGGGACCCATTCTTTACCTTTAGACAGATGACTCATTCATACACTTATGGTTATAATGCAGGACCAAAGTTGAGCAAATGTTTGTCATTTTGCTGTTAACGTGGCTTCCCTACAGTTTAGTATGGGTTTCGTTTGTCAAGCTAATGGACAGAGCTCTGCCTTTTCATTGCTATAGTTTGTGCCACTGAGTCATGACTACTGACTGCTAATTGTTTCAAGCTGTCAGCTGATAGATTTGAGCCATGGGCGCAGTGACCTAATGTTAAACTCAGTCTTTGCCCTTGACAGAATAGTAACCTATCAAACCTGTAGAGCCTCTAGATGCTCAGTTGAGTGAGTGAGAAGATATATATA